CATTTTTTTGCTCCTACTCACTGCTTTCAAGTGTGCCTCCAAGGCCCCCACAGCCCAAGCATCAAATTAATGCCTCACTTGGACTGCTTGCCACTTTTTTTTTAAAACATCGCTACCCAAGGAACAGCTTTTGCAGCCCCTCTTCCTGCCAATATCATCTCCGAACCCACTGTAAGTCTACCATTAGCCAAATGCATTTTTGATAGGATTGTTATAATGCTTCAAGAGCTGAGATGCTGCAGGGTTTTGGAGGCATCTCTTGATTTTTCTTTTGGTACATGTATACCTGTGCCTGTGAAGTACGTGAGAAAGTTTGCATCCACATACAATGTACTAGTGCCTACACAGACTCCTTTCACTTTACTGCAGGAGTTTGCCAAATAGGTGTGAAAGTTTCTACGTTAAGAATATGACAGGTTTTTGCTAGGCACTAAATATTTATGTCTGCTTACTTTCTCTTTTTTTTTTTTTTTCAGGGAGAAAGCTCCTTTGCCAGGTGCCCCAGAAATTCCAAGATCAGATAAACAAACAAAAAAAGATATAGCAATATAAGACTGTATGTTCTTTTTCGGAAAAGGGGGCTCATTTCAATGTACAACTCATACCAAAAGCAAGACAGAAAGAAAACACCTGAAGATGACATGCTGCTTTTTGCTGAATGCTTCTACACAAATCATCCTGAGAACCTGAAGATGACAAAGATCTGGTTGCTGCTTTTTGCTGAATGCTTCTACACAAACTCTACATTTTCCATATTCATTGCTATTTTAATTATTAAAACCAGGAAACTTCAATTACATCTACACAGAAATGGGCAATTCAAACCAACATCAGGAGAAGCAAACTATTTCATGTTTCATGTTTCTTGGAGTAATATTTTAGAGGCACTAGTACTGGAAGCATTTCTTTTAGGCAGAAATAGCCTTCACACTACAGTGCACCGAAACAGTGCGGGACTGTCATTCTACTGTTAGATCATGCAAACAGTTTCATTCAGCATTCAATACAATCATATTACAACGTCTTGGTATAGAATGAATGAACAACGTCAAACCTGGACAACTACCAGGGTAGAAACATTCCTCATATTTATTCTAGGCTTCGTTTCCGGGGTTGGTTGTGGGTTTTTTTGGTTTTGTTTTGTATTTTTTTTTAAACAAGCTTTTCAGCAGAAGTAATGAATTGGTATGTCTGATAGCCTGTTTCAGTGCTTGATAACCCTTTCTGTGAAGGAATGTTTCCCAATATGCAATCTACTGCTTGACCAGTAGCTATCTGAAAATGCTTTGCTAGGACCTCAATGCAGATGACATAAAGAGCTGCACCAGTCAGGGGGCGTGCATCACTGGTCTGTTTCCTAAAGAAAGGAAGAACACAACCTTAAGAGGCAATGGAAAGGAAGCAGCAATAAACTTCATTACCTAAGTCTAACAAGAGTCAAGAAAAAGTTTTAGTTATGAAACTCTTCTATGAAAATGTAACCACAAGGAATACATTATATGGCAAAAATGTATATGGAAAGAAATGCAACAAACTACATGACGTATGAGCAACAATCAATAGAAGTAAAATAAGGTTCTGCCTGCTGCTTGTAACCAATGAAAATCCCTTTGCCTAAAGGACAAGGTCAAAAGAGGTGGTTGATAGCTTTCAAAGATTTGAGGCTTTTATCAGGATATAAAAATCATAAGACACACGTCAGTAGGTTAGACAAATAACCAAGGTTAAACAGTTTGGAATGCCTGTGGTATGTATGAAGAAGTACAGTTAGCTAACAGGAATAAGAAGACCTTGTGAGACTCAAAGGGCCAGGATCACGGGATTCTTAACTCACACAAACCATAAATAATAAATGAAATTAATCACAGCGTTGACTTAATCTCTCCTCATGAAAAGGACTTTACTACTTAAAGTGCTCTAAGAGGGAATCTGTCCCCTAAACTAATTTTCTGTTCTCTATTCTTTCACTGCAGTGTCTCCCTGCAGTGAAAGCCACTGGTACACAAGCCACCACAGATATATGAAAATGCCATAATTTTAGCAGAAGTTCCTCAAAAGAGCTACATTCTGGCCTGAGTGCATGCATAGACCTTGAACTTGAAGGATTCACCTGACTAAAGCAGACACAACTTCTCCTTGTTGCAAGGCAAGAACAAAGCCCCACATTTTCATCTTACGACAGCTGAACTATTCCAGCTTCTGTAGAAGAAAAAGGCTATCCACCCTGATAAAAGTTTGTATTGCCAACAAAAAGACGCTGCATCAGCAGTTGTGTCACCAATTCTCCATCATTATGGTGGCTCCCCCTCAAATACCATTCAATTCAGAGAGCCCATGTCAACATCCAGAACCAAACTAATATAAGTTTGTATAAAACTTTAGTCATCTTTTCTTTGTCGCCATGAATTGCAGTATATGAGTTATCAACTCACACGAACAAACAAGAAATAGTCAAAACAGATGGGGTCAGAAGGTACGGAAATCAAGCCACTATTCAAAACACGGTCTCAATGAGACTTACTCGTCTCAGAAGTTACATTTCCTTATAGATCTGAGCTCTTCAAGAAATGAAAGTAAAACATATAATGAAGCCTTTGGAACTTCAATAATGTATATCAATAACAGCAGGCTAAAAGAACAAAACAAGACGGGTTTGAGTGTGCACACACATACACACAGAGGCAAATACAAAATATTTTTTAGGTTTCGGTGTTGGGATTTTTTTGTTTGTTTAAATCCATGTGTGTATGTGGTATATGAAATGCAGAGGTGCATAAATACTAACTCAGCAAAAGCGGAGAGGAATAAAGGATGACCTTATTCCACTCCAATCAGCTAAGAATTATTTGAAACTGAAGATGCAGTAATAGCAAAACTGATTCCTGAAAGAGTTTCCACTCATCAGATTCCCAGCTGATTAGCACTGTGTAGCATGCTCATTTCCTTCAGCAGATGCTTCCGATGTTTGTTACCAAGAGTTGCTGTTGGAGTATTACTCTGGTTCCAAACTGGGCTGAGCAGAATTCTGCAGACACTTTGGGAATAACGTGACATAAATGAAAATTCTGTCAGAACCTGGCTTCTTTGATATTCCCCTTATTGTATTTGTCTCCACCACCTATTTAAGACACTAAGCATAGACTAAGTCAGACAATCTGTTGGCAAATAACCAAAAAGTAACGTTTGCCATAATCTCCCTATCACTTCTCTTCCTATCAATAAAACTGAATGAATTCTCCCATTCTCTCATCAAACACTGAGACAGTCTTCTTCAGGTCTCAATCTGCTCAAAACATGAACACTGCATTCACATAAGCCTCACACACACAAAGCCATAAACCTTTTTTTTTTTTTTTAATAGGGGAAAGGAAGGGAATCTGTTTGGAGGGCAGTCACTGAAAATTGGACAGCAACTGTCTTTACTCTAAGTAATTCTAGGAATTCAGAACACTTCATTATTTTGCCAGATTCTATTTCATGAAGCAGATTAAGGATTTTAGATGATCTGCACCCAGTTTTGCTGGCTGCTTCCTAAGTTTTATGCAGTTTAGTTTGGGAAGCTTAAACAACCTGATCTTCTTATATTCAGGATTCAGTCACTTTGTCTTTCAGTGTCATTTCAGCCCAGGCTATGTAAGCTGCCTTCCCCTTGGGCAGCAAGATGGATTTATCACCCAGAAAAGAGAGGAGCATATGTTCTTATTTAATCCTTATTCTGCTTGTACAAAATAAATCCATATTCTAGATAAAAGCAACAGAAAACGGTCTGCATACATTAAATTATAAAGAAGAGACACTGCTTTCCCTAAACATACTGCTCCACGGGCCATTTTAAGAGTAAACTATTCCCTACATCATCTCATATGGGTAAAGATCAGGAAGCAGTAGTAGTGAAAGTTACCTTGTATGTAACAAAACCACCAGAAAAAAAAGGTGAAGGTTTCCCTCCTACTACTTGGTACAGCCACCAGTAATTATATGAACTGTGGGTGCTGCAGTAAGCAGTTTCTCATGAAGAACACTCAGCGTCATTAAACAAAGATGAAGAAGGAAAAAGGTAAATCACCCATTCAGACTAAATTGGACGCCATGTCCCCAGGCAAAATGGTTTCAATAATAAATAGCAAGAACTAACCGGTTTCTCCTTTTTTGAAAGCTTTTCAGTCTCTTATGAAATGGCAAAAGTATTTTTAAAGAACTGAGATCACCTCATTGATTTGGGAGTAAAGACATAACCCCTAGCCAGCAAACAACTTCAAATGCTGTCCTCCTAAGGACAAAGATTAACAGATACTGTACCAGACATTCCCTCCTCCCTACTTGCAAACTCCCAAGGCTGTTTGCTGAGATAAAGCACTTGCACTGCACTAAGTCAAAATTCATTCTTGTATTTAGGATTATGAGTCATGCTCTTGAAAAAGCTATCATACCATTTCATGGGGACAAGGTGACAGAGCTTCTTAGACAGGGCTGTATACTAGAATAACATAAATCTTAAGAGTGAGCCTTCATTTTAAAAGTATTCTATTCTTGCTGCAGTTATCAAATGAGACTGATGTATCAAGACCTAATGCAAGAATTAAGAATTCATTCTCCAAAGTCTACTGACCATGATGCCAGAAAGAGGAACGTGCACTCAAAAGACAAGACTAATATTATACCGTATCTGGAAAAGATTGAACCTACACTCCCCGTGTTTGCAGTGAGGAAACTACCTCTACCAAGATTTAATTCCTCAAAACCGAATAACATTTATTTTCCCCCTAAATATGTCAAAGAAGTAAGTTTACCTTAAGTAGTTGCTAAAATTCAAGGGAGACAATAAAACCGGCCCCCAAAATTCTTGTCTCGTCTAGGTCCGCACACCTATGCAATCACATCAGGTCAGGCACTGCTTTTCACAAAAAAAAAAGATAAATCCCTACGGTCAAACCACAAGGTGATGTCGATGCGTAAGAAATGCCGAACCTGACAAATGAAAGAGCCTTGTTATGTCCAACCTCAAGCTCAATGCACCTCTGGCGAAAAAGTAGTAGCCCCGGCAGAGCGGGCACAGGGATGACAGCTTTCGGGAGCCTTTCTCTCAAATGCTCTTCCTAGAGGTTTGCAAAGTCCGAAGAGGAAACGAAACCGGCGCCGGGCGGCACCGAGCTCCGTAAACGGGCTCGGGAGGGGAAGATTTCAACAGACTTTTCGCTGGAGATCCATCCTCCCACCCACGGCAACGCTTCCCACCCGCGCTCCGCTCCAGCCTCCGCCCGCCCAGCGCGGCACACGGCGGGCGGCCACCGCCGGGCTCCTCGGGGCCGCTCTCCCCCTCCCAACACCCCCCCGC